ATAATACTTCCTTTTTTCAATTGAGAAAGCTATGATAATACACTATTTGTTACAATTGGAACGAAAGTGTTCCCCTTATAGGCGCTTCTCATATATATGTATTTTTTTCAGGAACTTCTTCATTGATATCACAAATATAAGTTATGTTGGTGAGTTCATCAAATTCAAAATTACATAAAAAATTACTCAGGTACAATTAAGTTTTCGATTTATGATAAAAATACATACTTCAAAAACCCAGCTATTTTATGTCAAACGATGGCCAATCACAATTCATTCAGCAATTAATACCTCGACACGTGTTTCAATCCCCAAGTGATCATCTTCAAGAAGACGATCTTCCTCACATGTTTCAATCACCAAGTGATCATCTTCAAGAAGAAGATCTTACTCTTGAAGATGATCACTTGGTGATTGAAACACGTGTCGAGCTGTTAAAAATAACGGTTTGGTGTTGGGATAAAACTCCAGTAACAATCATTACTACACCAAAAGTTCCAAACAGTACATCATCAATTAACTGATTAATAATGAAGGTTTGAAGGACATTGACCAATTCTCTAAGTACCTCAATGTAATCCTTCAACTTGCATGTTTATGTTGAGAATTTCAAAGATAAATATTTGAATTTTTTACCTTTTTTTTTTCAGACAAAAACAGTGCCAGTCTACTCCAAGATGCATATGTTGACTCGGTTAGACAAAAAATCAGAACACTGGAATCTCGAATTGCACAAAGTGAATTATTACTACCACAGTTAGAATGGCGAAGACAAGCTTACATGGAGGAGACTGTGAATGGACTATCTGGGAAGGTTGCATTTTTGAATCGTAGATTTGATGAACTTTTGCCTCAATGCAGAATGAAACAACCAGAAACCATGGCTTGAATAATCAAAAATATATAGGTGCACATGTCGACCATAAAGAGAACAAAATGGAGGAAAGAAAAAATACATACATATGAAAAATATATAGGAACTAATTATTATTATGTTTCCATAAGTAGACAAGTGATATTCTAGCAAAAATGTTCACATGTGAATTTTAAATGTGTCGTCCATCTTTGTAACC